AATAATAATTAATAACTAACTACTAAAATTTACTAAGAAACTAAACATTTTATTATTGTGCTACATATATTTTTTATAAGTGAATATATTTTTACTACATACTAAATTCGTATGCTAAGTGCATATTGATTGTACTATTATTTATATTTTAAAATGGAAGCGTTCGAATAAGGGTTCCTTATAAAGCCCGACCAGAAAAATAATTTAAGCTATTATATTGAACACACTAACACCTATTGTAAACTATTTGTAGCTATATTAACATCACCTTCAAATAATAATCTTATTTTTTTTTATAAATATAATTCTAAGTATGTTCTTATTATCTATTTGTTATTAATTGTAAGGCGAGAGATAGAAACCCTAATAGAAGTAAACAATAAAAAAAAACAAATTTTATGTAGTAAAAGAGGACACAAAAGGTAAAAAGATTTGTCGAATTAGTGAGTCAAGACAACAAGATACATATCAATAATATTGAATATTGTATAAAAATATTGAAAAAGTTAGTATTTTAAAACTTTCTGCATATAAGCGACGAAATTTTCCTGGAATTAAAGCTATTTTATTATTTATTTTCGAGTACAAGCATAAACACGTTTTATTTTCCTAGTCGGGTTTTGAGGTTTGTTAAACCGATGTTTTAGACGGTTAATTTTGAGATGAGAACAAACAATAAACACCCGTATAACTATAGTAATAAGGTTAATTTATAATAAACTTTGTATTTATGCGTTGGCAGTTAAGTGTATCTTACTAACACAACACCAACCGCTATAACGGGCATCGAACCACAAAAGTAAAATGCATCACAAATAATAAGTAAAAACTTAATATTAGAAACTAAAATCTATAGAGAAAAGTAACGTTTTTAAATAATAACAGTTATTTCATTATGATTTTTTTGTACACAACATTGCATAGGGCTTTTAAAATGCATGCACATTTTAATAGAAAAGGCACTACCATTCAACGAACACTAAAAATTAAATACTCTTATAGCCGTTAACATTTTCTTTCTAATTCATTCAAACGAGCATTTTGTCAATTTGCAATGTAAATATATAAATTCACAATATACAATGAGGTGTTAATAAAATTGTACGTAAAAATATTTTGGATCTTATAACTACTAACATAAGATGGAAGATTGAATAAACTAAGATTATTTTGGTTTATTCCTTAACGTATGAAAAAAAAATAGTGTTTGTGCACCATTTTGTAGGTTATAATATAATTTACGATTAATGCAATAATAAAAGCTTAATTGCAAGCAGCATAACGAAGGATATATCTCTGTTAAATAACTGAGACTGGACACAAGTCAAAGCCAGCACTCGAAACCAAATCATTACGAATTTTTTTAAATAACATTCAAAAAGTGACTAAAAACCCCAACTAATCTATAGAGATGAGGAACTGACTATTCAATTCAAGATTCTACAACGATCGGCCGTAAAAAATACTAAATAACACAAATGCACTATGGCCGTAATGCCATTTGTACCGAAGCATCGAAGGGTTACTATGCTAGAGTACAAATTAAAATTAAGAATTGACGAAAACTATCCGATCCTTCTATAGAAGCGATACAATTCCTAACACGACCGCGATGATCCTTTAAATCAATAACCCTTATACCACCGTCATAAGCACTAACTACGTCCATACAAATTCATTTGAAAATATCCACATTAATAAATAAAAGTGGTACACTTACACACTAATAGTTCATAACTTCATTTTATACTTTTTTTTTGTTTCTTTTATAATTTGCACGAAACGTGATATATTAAAATAGTGTCAACTAGTTGTAGAAACATCACATTTTATTAAAGGTTCCCTTATTAGGTTGGTGTGAGCGAAACGTGCGTTTCAATATAAAACTTTTGGTTATAATATCAGTCAATGTTAATGATCCTATTAGTTTATGGTCATATTACTATTTATGATGACTAGAAGATGTCTTTTAAGAACAATGATATTCACGTGTTGTATATAGAAAATAAATAAATTCTTAAGCAATATTAGAGCTGAAATTGCATGTTTAAAGAGTCTATGCATTCTAATGCATATTTTTTTTTATCAAAATCATGACTAAAATATTATATAATTTCCTTAAACAGATATAAATAAATATATAATAATTTGGATTATTTCAATGAAAAATGAAATTTTAGATGATATAAATAACGACGCCGTTTAGCCAAAATTTGCCTGGACGTCAAAATCCATGATAAAATACATTATTAAATAGTAAGTTACAATTTTGAAATTTACAAGCATTATTATTAGTAATAAGGTAGACAACACATTATTTACTTATATAATTTAAAACAATATTTCATAATATATAAATTGTAATTAAAGAAATAAAAAAAAACATATCCAACTATAGTATCCGTGAGACTGAACAATATTTTCAAAGAAACATGCTGTATATGAACTGTATATGTAATGCAACTGTATATGAAATATTTTTAAGGGACAAGAGGTTCTTACTTTCATATTTTGATAGGTTACTTAGTGGATAGTGTTTTAATTTCCCAAATACCGCCAACACACTTCAGACTGTATACAGAGTGTAATAGAAAAGGTAACTATCACAACCTGTATATGAACTATTATGTATATTTTTACATAAAACTTTAATACACAAATATTTGAGCCAAAGACCTTATCATCATTATAAAAATTTCCACATTCATAATAAATTTATTGTTTCGCTCACACCAAATAAAAGCATTTGGCAAGTATAGTTAATAACTAGCCAACTAGCCAACCTCGAGGATCTCCTATTGTGGAGACATAATACTTTATTACATTGACCTACCACTAAATGAACGACGGGTCAAATAAAATCTTCCAAAAAATGTGTACGGAAATAATATAGTTAATGTAGATAAACAGATATGTATAAGAATAATATTAGATATCATTGATCGAGGCACTAAAACCCCAATAAATACGAGAAGAACAAAGTAAATCAATATAATTTGTCATATATTTAATATAGATCAAGTTTATATTTCCGTGAGACTCTGGTTTTTTATAGCATTATAGAAATAAGCTTTAAGCGTAATTTATACTCTTATCATTAAAAAACAAATCTAAATAAAATACTCTGTTCTGGAGCACCATGCTTTTAAATAAACTTAGTAACTTCATTAACTAGTATTACTTACTGAAAATATACTAACGATCGTCTTTTTTTACTTAAGTAAAGTATATACTTTTCCTATAATGTAGAATTCTGTAGGTGCAGACAATAAAATAAATAACTTATATTATTAAGCTAAAATATATTTTTTTTATATCAATTTGAATAATTTTGAGCGCAGTACCGTCGTCCATTTTGTGATATATCATATTATTCTTAATCCAGCCAAGCATGATTAAATAATGCAGGACACCGGCGCAATACTAACCTAAACACTTCTAATCAGAGTAACATTATGTATGTTTTCTTTATATATTAATATTATAATTGTGGTCTCAGATTACCTGTGTTAGTATATTACGAATTCACTCTTTACAATCGTATAATTTAAATGCGTTATTGTTGTTTCATAAAAAGTGCAATTCGTAATTTTAATATGAAACGTACGTTTGATATGACATCTATTTAGGCTACTTTCTCATTTGTCAGCACAATATTTTACTATGTAAATATAACATTTTATACTATATTAAGCGTTCACATACAGACATTCGATAAATATTTCTGCTAAATTAATACAGACCGATAACTACCTGGTCATAACAATACAGGACCGACAAATAACAAAGTGACCTTAGGATTGCAACGTCCCCTTTCATAGAGAAATGGCCTAACATTATTTTAGACAGCACTGTCTGTGGAAACAATTTAATTATATATATGTATAAAAATTACAAATTCATTAGCAAAACTGTAGATATTTTGTATATTTCATTAAATGTTTATTTCATTTTTGGCATAAAATTGTTTTCAAGTATTTTATATATTTAAAATAGTAATAGATTATATGAATTACATTAAATAAAGTTTTCTTTTCAATGAGATTACACACAGAGAATGCTGTCAAAAAACTACAGACCTATAATAATTAGACATATAATTTTAACTAGAATAATAGTATTTCGCAGTTTCACCAACATGGCGGATGGCTCATTGCATTTAGCCATATTATTAAATTTTAGTAGAAAACAACATTATGAAATTCTTGGTATTAAAATTGGCTATAAATAGCTTTTCACTAATTTATCAAGTGCCTAAGCCAAATTTAGATATATTGACTTTACTTATTATATTGTGAAATCACATATGAATCGTTAGGATGGATTTTTATATGAAATATTACGAGAATAATTGGGATACTTATGTTCATTTAAATTTGCAGATTTATCATTTTTTATATAATTATTAAAAAAATAACATTATTATATTGTCATTCGAATATGTACTATGTTATTCTGTAAAAGCTTAGTAAGTAGTTAATTTTCTTTTTCATTTTAAAAGTACCAGGTACGGAGTACATGCCTCTTAATTATTACAGTTTTAGGGTATGATCAATTAAAGCAAATAAAACCAACTTATCTCAAACACTAAACGTATAGATTAAAAGTTATATTATCATGAAAGTTGTTTTTTATTATTAATTCAAGCATACACCTCAAAAAATATATTGCATAAAGTAAATTAGTCAGTTCTCTCTACCCTATAAAAGACCTGATTCTGGCTTCAATTGGATAATTTCTTATTACACTATTGCTACCACATCTCAGTAATCTATGGTATCATAAATAGGAAAAGTTTTTGTATGTTTATTGATATAAATAAACTTATAATTCTTCAGAAAAAAAGATTTATATATTTCTTAGTATATATAGATACTTAATTGGTGAGTGACATAGGTTGTATATTCTACGAGCATAACGCCTCGGGATAAAGCTAGTAGTATAAAAATCTGCAAGTTTAATTGAAAATAAGTGTTTCCGTGATAAACATATTAAAAAGCTCAATTAATAGGGCCTGTAGCTAGGTAATGATATGGATGTCGGTTATGCATGAACCGGTTATCATACCTTTGGTTCTTCTGATAGAAATCGTTCTTGCCTTGGTTGACCTTCCTGTAGTTCTGCGCACGTCTCTGTTGATTCTTCTCTTGTTGTTTGTCTGATTGCTTGTTCGATTTGTTGTTTGTGTTGCTTTCTGGTTTAGTCTCATTCTTTGCTGTCTCGTTGGGTTTTTCCTGTGGATTGAGTGTTTTTTTCATTTAGTTTAGGGACCTCTTATAAATTATGTGACAAGCTAAGGGGTGCATAAGTTAGTTATTATGTGAAAAGAAATGTGATGAGACATACATTTATTATATAGTATATATATATTAATTTATAGTAACAACATATATTCATATTTTATTTTGTCTAAGTCAGCTAAGAACTAACTTACCTCTTTCTTTTCTGCGTTAGTCTGTTTCAAATTACTTTGATTCGAACTGCTGACGGCGTTGTCTTGTGTTTGCTTCTGCGCAGGTACTGCAAACTGGGTAGTAGCCTCGTTCTATGAAATATATTTTTTAGAATATATAAATATAATTTATTTATTTATGTGATTCGGATACTCATAATTCATATTATGTTAATAAATTACTTATAAATTATGTTGGTAAAATATGAACACATCATCATCATCAGCTCACTGGACATAGGTCTCTCCCAAGGAACATCATAGGGCACGATCTCAACCTTTCTCTTCCAGTTATTATCCGCAACCCCACAAAGTCGTCGCTTCAACTAGCACACTTTCTCACATTTTTATAACTATAATCTCAGGACAATTCACACAGCGCCATCTAGACCCAAGATAAGCTAGTTAAAACTTGCGTTATGGGTACTGATAACTGATACAAAATCATACTCATGAATAAAAAAAAATTGGGCCGTGCGAGAAATCGAACACGCGACTATCGGAAATAAGGCGGTGTGCTAAACCACTAGACCAACGAGGCCGTCAACTATGTTATATTTTATTATATATATGTAAGAGCAACAAAGAATATCAATATAGTATAATATTCGATTAGTAATAGAGGGGAAGCTACGACTAAAAAATGCTGTAATCACCATTATGGCTCTTAGTATAGAAGTACAAAAGTGACTCACCGCAGTTGGCTTGGTATTGGCGGGCGTGGTGGTGGTGGTTGTGGCTGTGGTGGCGGCGGTGGTGGCTGTGGTGGCGGCGGGCGGGCCGTCCCGCGGCGCGAGTGCGACGGTGAGCGTCAGATCACACCACATGGCGCAGCGGGCGCGACGTGCGCAGATACCTAACTGTTTCACAGCCTCCGCTAGTTGCAAGATGGCTGTTGGATTGTATATCATTAGTATAAAATCTCGCATGTTATAGTTTATATAGAAAAAAAATGCCGAATGTTAATATACTTTTTAATTATGCATAAAAAGATACATTAAATCTATAAAAACACATTGCCCACACTACTATGTATTTAACACAGACAGACATATGTCAAATTAATAATATATTAACATTGTATTTAATATTATTTGTCGTCTTACTGAATGTGAAACATAACCAAATTTAAATTGATTATGCAATAATATCTACACATATAAATAAAATTGGAATTTCTGTAATACTGACATAACCTTTTTTACTACATGCATATGAATATAAATATGGTACATACACCAAAATAACATTTTTTACAATTTTTGTCTGTCTATTTGTAATCTCTGAAATGGCTGGACCAATTTTGATGGGGCATTTTTTGGCAGGTAGCTGATGTAATAAGAAGTAACTTAGGCTACTTTCATTTTAGAAAAATAAGTTTAAATTCCAAGCGGACGAAGTCGCGAGAACAGCTAAACATATATATAATATATAACTGCGACCACTAGTTATTACTATCATCCGACTGGACTACACGAGTAAGGGTGTACTCACGGTCGGTTATTACTGTCATCCGACTGGGCTATACGAGTGAGGGTGTACTCACGGTCGGTTATTACTGTCATCCGACTGGGCTATACGAGTGAGGGTGTACTCACGGTCGGTTATTACTATCATCCGACTGGGCTACACGAGTGAGGGTGTACTCACGGTCTGTCCGCAGGTACCGGTGCTGGTGGTGATGGTGCGGCGCGAGTTCTCGTCGTCTCGCAGCCTGCACAGCTCCCACTGCACTGCGCCAGGCTAACATCGCGCTTTCCACTTCACTGTGCGGTGCACTGCTCACGAACAACAAATACAACATATTTTATAATAAAAAATAACCCTGGACAATTGACACAGCGCCATCTAGTCCCACGGCAATCACAGTTTGTGTTATGAAACACCCAGACCGATACAAACAATCATACTACAAATGTTTGCACCGTTCGAGGAATCGAATCTGCGACCATAGGAAGTAAAGCGGTGTCATCCGACTGTCAATAATAAGGACCAAGGCCATCAATAATGATATCTTTATTTCCAGCATTCATTCTTTTTTTATGGATGATAATGGAATAGTGTACCTATGGTTTCGTCCAATGCCACAATACTGAAACTGAAAATTTCCAAATTGTGGAATGTAATTTTAAAGTTGAAGTTTATTGTAGATTTTCCTAAAATTAACATTTTTAGTGAAAACTGTATTGTATTAGGTTTGCAATACATTGAAGGTTTAAGACAAAAGTAACTGTAATGTAAAAATACTCACATTTCAGCCAAATTCTTTACATCCTCTCTCCATGTGGTAGGATCAAAAGTAGCCGGGTCCACTCCCACCTCCTTCTCCTTGTCGCTAACATTCTCTTGTCCGCGTTTCAGTACAGTTATCTTAGGATCTTCAGACCTGTTGGGTTTCTTGTTCTGAGCCACGCAAACGCTTGCACGTAGAGTTTCCATCTTACCCATTAATGTTAACACCTAGAAAAAACAAAATTTTATTTTTAGAATTAGGAATAAACTTTATTCAAACAACAAAATCTGAAATGTTTTGTCCCTGCCTTTCAGTAAGTATTCTTTATTTGCAAGATAGTGACAAAACACTGCAATTAAAATGACATTGTATGAAGTAATTTAACCATATTCCATGGGGGGGAAGGTGATATAATGTGGATTCATGACCTATTACTAGCAATGTACCATGTCAGGTTGACCTCCACGCGGTTCCCCCTGGAAACCATCGTGATGAATTCCTGGTGAATTTGTTACGATGGGCTAACTGACCTGACCTCATGTTCATTCTATCATCCTCCACTGGTGCCCCGCCAGCGTAAACCGTTAGCGCAAGCAGGTGCACCATTCCATAATCACCCATAAAAAAGAAAAAAACCATATTCCATGGATATATATTATATATTATATTTGCGACTATAGTTTCCATTCGGAAGGCACAATTCGTCATTTGTTTTTATACAACTCCTGAATGTTTAATATATTTTGGCAATGCAGTTATAATTAAACTACAAGTATACAATAAAATATTATAAATTATCAAATAACATTATCAACAACATTAACACATATCGTACTCGACCCAAAGGTTCCTATAACGCTGGCAGCATTACCACACTGAATTGATAGAAAACTAGTAAAGAATTTTAAATATCTATGTTTGAGTTTTCTTTGATAGTCTTTTTAGTGTTTTGCTTTATTGTCTAGCATAGCATTCACATTAAAAAAAGTTAACAATTTTACATACCTGGCCTGATGTCATAATTGAAGTTAGAGATAGAGTTAGATTGAAAACTTTAATTATGACTATAATTAAAGTTTTCTATCAGCCAGTTGAGAAACCTTAATGACAGGTTCACCATATTACCTTGGTATGCTCCCTCAGCATGTCAACCGTGAGGCGGTCGACCCTGGTTGGACAAGGTGGCAGCCGTGGCACGGGGATAGAGTTGGAAGATGAGACTGCACGTCCAGGGTACGCGAGAGCCAGCCGAGCCTCTGTTCGTTTGCGTTCGCGCTCCAACTGCCTCCATTGTTCGTAGCAGGAGTCAAGTCGCGCGTGGAGTATGCCTGATGACGTCGCCGCACCTCTGTTGGAGAAAGTATTGTATTGCCATATTTAGTTTTGAGAATATGGAAAGACATTATAATGTCCAAAGATGTTTTATAAAATTAGAATCGTAAAGAAGTTGACGGCTCACGAAAAGTTGATGGTCACCGTCGCATTCTTGGAGACAAAAATAGCAATATGGACTTTATTATGTGACACCCGTGATACTACTCTTACATTGCCATATCAAAGGACTAAGATCTCATGAGCCTTAATCTGTAACTGCACTGCCTAATGTGCACCTTACAACCAAAACACGCCTCACAAATTATGCTGCTTGGTGGCTATAATAGGTGAGACTGAAATACACATCACTGTTAAAGTACTAAATAATAATAAATAACATTATATATAATTATTATAATTTTTTTAAATGAACCTAATATATATTACTGTAAAGACTGTACAAATAATAAGAAGAAAAATACCTCATGTTCCTCATAGCGTAGAAAGGCGCTAGCAGGGGTAGATCTAACATCGGTGACGGCAACACGGGTGGTGGGACCGGCGGACTGGGTCCTAATAAAGCGCCCAAACCTAACAAAGACATATCATTGAATTACACAAACATATTTTGGGGAACAAAAATTGCAACAATATAAGTTTTTAAGGTCATATATTTCTAATAATAAAAAAGGGAAACTCAAAGCAGTTCTCGAGACACACCCGGGTCACAAGTCGCAGGAACTGCTCGATGTTTCCCACTCTATCATAGAATGGATGTAGTGGATCCATGGAAACACCCCCTAAATACATGAACAGCACTATGGACATTACGTTATCATGTGATGCCTGTGATACCACTAATCCGTTGCCCTTCCGAATATGAGATGATGACTAAGAGGTCATGCCACGTGTACCGTAATTTTACTGCCTTATAATTTTCAGTCTTACACCGAAATAATTCTAGAATAAATATTTGCAAAGCGGTATTCTAAACCGCTAGACCAATTACGGGTATATCAATACAAAATGTACTTATACCATATTTCAAGCAAATTGAAACATTTAATTTAATTTAAGATATTGTACATTAAAACCAAATATTAAAGTACTCACCAAGATTGAAAGGAGCATTGTCCGGCAAAAAGGAAACATCAACATTGAGCTGATTAGGTGGGGGCCGATTTCTCATCAACAAACTCATGTGCCTCGCTAACTCCTGATTCTGCCTCATAAGAGCCGCTTGTCCGTTATCTCTCCCCAATCCATTATCGAAATTGCCTCTTTGCTCATTCATAGCACCAGTCGGTTGGTAATTCTCACGCTGCATGATTTGATTCACATCACGTCTCTGCATAAAGTCATTCTGGTGGAAACCATTGGGTTTATAGTTTATTGTGTTACCACTCGACACTGGGGTCGGCTGGTTAAATTCGAAATTCTGTCCCATTGGATTCCTCTCATTGATTTGTGACATCATATCATAGAAGTTGTCCCCGTTAAAGCTTTTCTGAGGCGGTTGGAAATTTCTGTTAAAAAACATCTTATTGTCCTGTATTTTGTTAAAGTCCTCGCCCTGATAATGTCCATTGTCCATGGGCAGTTTATAATCCATGTTTGGCATTGTTTCATCGCGACTACGATCTACAGACATGTTCAACTGGCTCAAATAAGAAAGCAAGTCAGTATCCTGAGTTTGCTCCTTGAAATTTTCAAATTTATTCGGAAATCTGTGCGTGTTGTTAAACGTGCTATCGTAACTTGAATTGTAATTCATGTCCAAGTTGAGACTGTTGGGTCTATTATAGTTATTAGAAGGGAACATTGTATCAGGTAGTGAGTTTCTTTGGCTTTGGTCGAAGAAGTTATAGTACTTTTCATTGGGGCTTGAAAATTGAGCGCCGCCGATCTCCTGAGCGGCTAGCCTGAGAAGATTTAGTTGCTCCGGCGTCACATCTGAGGAGTCAGTGACTGTATCGAGACCTAAAAGTCCTACGTCATTGTCATGATAATTGACGAAGTTCGAATTACCAAAACCGTTTTGTAGATTGAAGTTGAAGCCATTTTGTTCGTTTTGGCCGAAGTTGTACGAAGTTGTATGGTTGTTTTGGTAGTTGAACGATGGAGGCATGAACGGTGAGTTTGTATCAGTTTTGGGGTATTGCGCGTTATTCGATGGTATGCTTAAAGTCTTTTCCGGTGATTGTACAGAGCTGGAAAGAAAATAATTAGAAATTGTGAAACTGCTAATTAAACTGCATTGTTAGGTTAGTAGTAAGACGCCTGTTACTATTAAACTAACAGTAGATAACGCAATCCACATTCCAGTCAAATTTGAGCCGTATTGCAATATTTACAGATGTACTTATTTAGTTTAGTCATTTGACGGCATATTTTGCTAATTGCCGTCATTATATCCAACATTACACTAATTACTATGTCATCACAAACTACTATGGTGTAAGGTGTACATCCGAACCATAAACGGTAGAAGCAATTACGTCGGAAAATTAATAGTTTTCATAGTAAAAAAAATATGCACGGTAATAATAAATACACCGGATTGTAGTAGGTTCGCCCCCTTCCGGTCATCGTTACGGCGATAGTTGTAATGCGTTTGACTACCCCATCTAGGATTACAGCCCTGAGGATATTTTTTTTTATAATAAATGTAGTTAATAAATTCAAATAGAAAGTGTCTAGTATATGTACACATGTTTGCTCTACTGTCTGAACTATTTAATTATCAAAATATAAATATGACTTTGCACTATTTACATATAGGTAATTTTTTCGAATACACTTGTCAGATCGTGATATAGGCTCTGTAACACGAAGACAAATTAGTGAGTTATTTCTGATCGTCGTCGTTTTAGTAACCTTGTAAATAAAAATAAACAGGTAGGACACGACAGTTGTCCATATATAGATTTATAATTTAGGATATTAAACGATGAATAAACCATTTTGATTAAAAATTAATAGGATGAAGAAATAGCTAAACAACGACACGACAATATAGATGATAATGTAATGGTGAACCCGCCTGCATTAACGGTATACGCTTTCTGCACACTAGTTGAGGATGATAAGACGAGCAAAGATGAGGTCAGGTCAGGTCATCGTGATCTTTTATCATGACTGTTTCCACGGAGAACATGTGAAGATCAACTGGACATGGTACATTACTAGCTATATTGTTATTAGTCCACATTACTAACAATACCTTTCTCCCCAATATGGATAAAATGAGAACTACAATTTTTAAAGTTTGTTGAAAGGCAATAAAGTCATTATTCTTATCGTTGTTAGCATTTAGGTCAGGTTTAAACCATTGACATTCTGATCTTTCGTATGTAGAGTAAGGGTCCTCCTACATTTCTGATAAGAGTCAGTCGGCCTGTAACGACGATGCCGTCTCATTAGCGCTTTCAATTACAGCGCATCGCGCTCTATGGAAATACGTCGACGACACAGCTCGTCCAGACTAAACCTGATAAGACAAAGTTTAGAAGGGGGTCTTGTTCTACCATATTCGGGAATTTATATACTTTTATGACTAATTCAAGATAACATTTCATGTATAATATACTAATCAGCTATAATGTTATTAAATGCAATATTACCTGCTCCCTTCCGTAGGTCCAGTCTCATCAAGGATCTTTGTGATGAGATCTCGGACCATTGAGTTTTCTTCCATAATGCGTTCCGACTGGAAAATGATAAAAACAAAATAATATTATATAGAATGTACTCCGAATTGATTTGAATTATAATAACTTATCAACCACATGAATTGGGTGTAATAAATTGCAGACAAATTAACAATTAAGAACAAATTTATAAATAAAATTGTGCAGTGTTATTTATTTTCCATATTTTAAATATGTTTTCATGTATGTTATTAGTTTTTTTTCTTAGTAGTTCCATATAATTTCGTTTATGCAGTACTTTTTTATTATTACTAAAAGCAACAATGCCTGACAATTAAAATTATGTGATTGTGTGCTAAAAAGCAGGATAGCTTCGCACACAGGGCCATATATGATCCAATAAATTACTTATATGCTATACTTATGACAAGTGCACAAAATATTTTTTTTTTTAATCTACCAACAAATGTTTTAATAACCTAACCTTAACAAATGTTAAACAAACAAACTGTTGTTGTACAAACTTATTAGCTTTATAGCAGAACAAGATAGTTAATCAAATGATATAAAATTGTGATTCAAAGATGGTTGCACCATTATATCATGCACTGCACACAGGATAATGTAATCTGTGTAAGTCAACAATCTATTAATAGTTTTTGTGTAATTATCATCATTTATGAATACAACAATGTTGTACAGTTTATAACTGTTAAACTGCTTCATATTGTTGCCAAACTAACAATTTAAATTAAAATTGTATGAATGATAATTACACACTATGTATGTCAATACTAATATTATAATGTGAAAGTGTCTGTCTGTTACCTTTTCAGGGATAAGTTAATAGATCTTAACTAAATTTGATGTAAAGATTATATCATGAGGACATACATAGGCTATCTTTTACCTCAAAATATATTTTTAAGGATTGAGCAGACAAAGTTTCAGATAACTGGTAGTAATACATAGGTATACAGCAATTGGGTTAAGTTGCAAATAATATTTTGAGAAATCACATTATTTTGTGTTCCCTGCCTTTTAGCCAAATCTGCCTATCCTATGTCACTATTTTAACTGAGGTAGACTTTGTACAAAGTGGTCTATGTGAATACCTTTGTCGCACCTATTTCTGTTACCAATGAAGTTGTTAAAAAAGCTGTATCTCAGTTGAAAGGAATATACTACAGGGACATGACATCTTATTTGTCCCAAGTGGCAACACATGAGGTGTTCTACAAGCTGTTTTTAGAACTGGTATGGTATACCATACCATACCAGTTAAAAATACATAATCCAATTATTATATCTTTAAAATCATGTGTGCATACATAATAGTAGCTAAAGACAGACTAAATGCCTTAATGTATTTGTACTGCTGCCAACTTTACATAATTGAAAACAACAAAAATGTAAACATATGAATAGTGATTATTTAAATTATTCTATTTATTTAACTTCAATTGCACAAAAATAAAATGTACATATGGCGGACTTAACACTTTGCAGAGTTATCTACCAGGCAATCATTAGTGGTGCAGAGAAAGATTGTGGGTGGTATACTAATAATATAAATGAGAGATGTCAAAAAATATATAAAGCAAAATATATATAACAGTAATACATATATATAAATTTATTATATGTCTATATAATGTATAGTAATTATATTAAGTCAAGTTATAAACATTTTGATGCATTTTAAAGTATGGAGTATTGTTGTCATAAATATTACATTCAAATTACTAAAAAAAACATGATAAATATATTTGTTAAATGAAGAAAATAGATCTTTAATTTATTTTCTTCATTTAACAAATATATTTATCAAAATACTTGTTTATTAAAAGATTTCACTTGTTACACTATCTTGTTCAAAGAATTTGATTATATTTCCTTCTTTGTTACCGCTAGATACTTTAAAGTACATATATGTATCATGAAATTTAGTATAAAGTGTACAGAAATATCTTACTAATATTATAAACACATAAGAGTGGATAGATGGATGTTTGTTACTCTTACACGCAAAAACTACTGAATGTATTTTTATGAAACTATGATATAGTTCATACATTAGAATGACACATACACTACATATTTCACATGGATGCAACTGTGGGTGCAGTTAGTATTTAGATATTTCAGATTGGGTAAAACAAAGCCTAATTATATTCACATAGTAATATACATGCAAACTCTGATGTATATCTCTTCATAAGTTTAATATATCAGACAGAATCAGATAAAAAAAAATAGAACTGCACAGTCATATAAAATTTTATATTTCTAGATCTTAAGTCTTTGACACATTTAAAGAATTTATAACAAGTAAAGGTTTTTATATTAAAATGCCTAAAGTAAAAATATATCAGTTGGTTTAGTCCAACATGATATGCTTTTTTAGTAAAGACTTTAACAAACAGCAAAGGAAGTACACACATTGTACATAATAATTACATGTGGAAAATGGTTATACATAACTGTATATTTTTCTGAAACAAGCAATTAAAATTGTGTATTCTGTATTGTTTACATTAATATGCCTAGTAAAAAAGAGCAACCAGATTTTATTAGGAATCCAATACGAAGGACACAAGCATAACAAAAATGTAGAGAAAGTAAGAACAACCTCTAATATTCTGTCCTACTCATTACCTAATAAAAATATTGAACTTATTATGAATGAAGTACTCCGCGTTAAGATTGAGTAATATGTTTACGATCTGTATGTGTTACCTTGTTATGCTGTCCCGTAGCGTGCAAACTACATAATTCTAAAAATATTGTGTGCATTTTTCAGATGTCATCATTCACCTCTGAGCAAAAAAATATGATATCCGAAACCAACACAACCACTGTATACAATTGTAAACACAATCCTTAATGTTAATTAACTCCGCAATATAACTTATGAAACACTTTTGTGGAATTATTATTGAGATTTTTCCCGGATTTTGGGTCAGATTGACAGATCGAAACATTTACAACACCCATGAAAATGGCACGAGTTTACACAACACTACACCACTTACCTGATCTGTTTCATTTTCCACGGTTTTATACGCATTACCTATGTGACATAAATCACTGAAGGCCATTTAAATTAAAAATTATTTCTTGCCACGATACATACGAGCTTTTAGTGCTAAGCCATTTTTTTCATTGACCTACATGTGTATATAAAATTATACGTGCCTACTAGCACAGTGTTGCTGCTTGCTTCTACAGAATTTAAATAGCCATGTTCAATTCTCCTTAATTTAAATATAATAAATAATGTATTTAGGTAAACTTACTTGAAACAATTATTTTTCAGGCAAACAGACGGATATTATAAAATAATTTTATATTATTTTACTAAATTTCGCGGGCTTTTTTTATTTTTTTTTAATGTGGTGTATAAAGCACATACAATTTAAATAGCGAGAAATTAAGTGAAATATGTAAATTTTACTAGCAATTATATAATAAAAAAATATTATTATAAATTGATGGAAACGGATAATCCTAAATTTACTATTCATTTTTTAAAGTACATACCTAGATATTGGAAATATTATGTATAAATACATAATTTTTACACTGGTAACAATTACACTACTAAAATTGTAGCGGATATTTCCGTGATATTTTGTCATTCATACTTTATACCACTGAACACTTAAATATATCTAAACATTACTTTACTTAGTATTGTATATTACATTGATGAATTATTATTTTTTGTACAGATATTTAATACAATTTATTAACAAGTACATAATGCGCATTAATTTAGATCTTTAAAGCTGTATGTTGTATGCGCGCCATCTTTTGAGTCGTTTGTATACTATTAAACAAGATAAGCATAGCACGCTATAGGGAGAAATGTTTGAACACACTAAAACAGATGGCGATATAAATTCAATACGGAGAAATGCATGGCTTTTACGTATGTCTTCTTTAAAAGTTTAAATATTTGATTACAGATCGATTTCCGATAATATTATTTCTACTTACTCGTACAATATTATCTGTGCTCGTACTCTTTCCACGATCTGATTCATCCAGTCGACCTGTAAATTATTTTATGTACATGATAATTGAACGGTGTACCCGCCTATACCACTATAGGTACCAACGATTTACGGTGGTGGAATACCAGTGGAGAATGTTAAGTCGAGTATAAGATCAGGTCAGTTAGCCTATCTGACAAATTCACTAGAATTTATCTCGATGGTTTCCAGGGGTAACTGCTTGGATGTGAAACTGACGTGGTAGGTACATTGGTATTTTTTATTTTTTTAAAGGATGATAATGGATTGGTTCTTCCGCCTGCGCTAACGGTTTACGCTGGCGGGGCCCCAATGGAGGATGATAAGATGAGCATGAGGTCAGGTCAGTTAGCCCATCGTGACAAATTTACCAGGAATTTATCACGATGGTGTCCAGGGGGAACCGCGTGGAGGTCAAACTAACATGGTACATTGCTAGTAATGGAGTCATGAGTCCACATTACTAACAATCCCCTTCCCCCTGGTACATTGGTATACAATAGGGTTATTTATTAGTCCACATTATTAACCCTACACTTTTTATTCATTTTACTCAAAATACAGGTATGATTCCTGGGATAAGAATAGCTAATTTGTTCATCAGAATAAAGTACAAATTTATAATGTCAATGGGTTTGTATGTGTTGTTTTTTTTTTTTCCTCAATCGTAATACGATTTTTTCAGTCAGTCATCTGGTGTCTATTACTTTTGTTATTTATGGACAGATTTAAAATCTTAGAGTCTGCATAATGTAATAAAAAATTGGGCTATTGTCAGGTGCTAAGATTTGTAGCACGGTGATCTATTGTGCTCGCCGTTTCAAAGTGCGCTACCCTAGACCCGTCAGGGACAAGAATTGGAGGATAATGTTTGCCACCATCCATCAACTCCTAAGAATATATTTTTATATGTACTACACATATAAAAATATATTCTTAGAAGTTGATGGATTTATCTTCGTAGGATAAAGTATGTACTTTCAAAAGGAGATATTTCGGAAAAATAAGATAATAATTTTATGTTATGCAAACGCTACGCTTCTGCTCTTGTGATTTCTTTTTATTTATATATTTAGGAGCATAGGATTACAATAGTCATGTTATATCCATAATAGCTTTTAAATTATTGTTACTTTTATATTGCATCTAAAGTTTCCGTGTGATGATCCAAAATAATACTTCAGTTTTTTCTTCTAAGTAGGTATGGAACAAAATATCAAATTGCAATAATTGTACATCATTGCATTCATTCATTCATAATTTAAGAGCTACGGCCTTGTCTGTGGAGTTCTTGACACTTTCCACGATCTTCCATCATGCTCTTTAAATATTTAGATATAGGACACGACTCCAATTTTGTATTTAATTTGCTTGATGTAGCTATGTTTCAGTCTTCCCCTACCCCTCTTTCGTTCTATTTTTCCCTCAATAATAATTTTCATAAATTAATCGTGCCGTATCAAGTGTCCTAACGTTTAAACCATATATGTATGTTCCGAATATTGCTTTAACGCAAACACATTTCTCATCCATTACACTGAAAGGTACATCCGAATTAATCGAATAACGCAATAGAATTACAAACAGGCGAATTGAATTCGAGTGTGAATTCCCTTTGAGATGCATCAAATTGCGAGTGAGTGCAATTGTATCAAGCAACGCATGTGCATAGGCTTTGGTCAACGTTTTGTAACCTAATTGCATGGACACGCGTCCACAGGTTCTATTCTATTCTACTATATGTATATATACTAGGTTTATTGCTAAGCTTTTTTGGTTGTATAATGACGTGGATGTCAAGCATATAGTACCTATGTATAAATGTATAAAAAGCGCTGAGCCCCATGCAGCAGTTGAATTGTAGGTAGGTATAGATACCTATAATATATGCATATCTGGGCATTAAATCGTAAATCGTTAATCATTAATTAACGAAGTTAACATTTTGATTTACTTTATTTATTAACTTAATAATTACGATTAACTTTTAAGTTAACGGACACTTTAACTTCAGTTAATAATGCAGAAGTCCGTTAATCGATAAAAAAGTGCATGAAAAAAAAGGTAGAAGATGCTTTACGATAAGAAGCAGTGGAAAATTGAAAGGACATATATAGTTTAAGTGGGGGAGGGAGCAGTCTATAGAAAAACCAAAGAGCTCCAACTCTTTAAAGAGTAAAGCGCAAAGTCTCATTAAACGTGGTTGGACATGAAATCAAAAGACTCGTTCAACGATGCTGCATTCCTCGGGGAACAGATATTCATAAATCTATTACTCAAATATAATACTGCTATACCCTCAAGCGCTGAAGTTGAATGTTTGTTTTCCATGGGTAAAGACATTCTAACACCAAAACGAGCCTCACTTTCAGACGAGAACTCCAACTTGTTAATGTTTATGAAGGGCAATATGCACCTTATGGCCGGCGATTAAATTACACAAGTATTTTGTTTCGTTCCTAATCTGTTAATTTCCAGAACCTAAACCAACAGGTTTTATAAGTTCACTAATGCAACGATATAAAAATGCAATCTTACACATATTAACGGATTAACGATTAACGTTAACTTGCGAAGCTTTAACGTTTAACGAAGATAACTTTTTTATTAGCGGATTAACGATTAACGAAATTAACTATTTGATTAACGGTGCCCAGCTCTGAATAAATAATAAAACACATTGCCATCTAGACCCAAATTAAGCTACCTAAAGCTTGTGTTATAGGTACTAGACAAGTGATACAAATACATAGATATGTTTTTTTCTGACTGTTTGTTACGGCTAAGTTAATCTGAAATGGCTTGACCGATTTTGATGGCACTCACTCGCCTTTATTTAAAAAAAAGCATAGTTAGTAAATTCCACCCGAACGAAGTCATGGATAACAGCTCGACTTATTACATTTAAAATTTTTTTTGACTAATTTTTCCCTTCTCAGTTAAAGGCAAAAGGATTCAGCCCACTATTTTTCATTTCGAAACAAAAATGGCGGATAAATTGAGTGTGTTCCCGCCAAATGGCCGAAACGTCACCTGTTACCGACATCGTCCACCACCCGCGGGGACCACCTGCGGCGTACGTACAGCATCCAATTTATCTCCGGCTCAGGGAGCGGAGAGTTAAAATAAACGCTGCTAATGACATTAATTTGTGTTCATTATTTATGTAAGTTGAGTGTATTAATATTCTGAACTAGCGACCTGGCCTGGCTACGCACGGTTTTTCTTACGGTTTATCCTTTACACGATACGACCATGACGATTCAGTCAGAAACACTTTCTGAGACAACAATTTAGTGAAATCACCTTCCAGCAATGGTATTTCCGACCCGATACAATATTGAAACCTTCAAGAAAAGAGCTTATACCTTTGCAATTCCTTTGGTGTTGCTCATGGGCGGCGGTAATCACTTATCAGGAAAGCCGCAAGCTTGTTTGTTCTCTATGCTATAAAAGAAAAAATCTCTGCCACGTCCTATTAGGACTGCGGGCGATTTAGCGCGGGAAAGCCAGCGTGCGTAATCGTAAGGCACTATAGGACATACTTATTACTATTTTCTGTGATCACTCTATAGCGCGTGATAGCGCGTTTCAATGTTTTTTTAATTTTAATTTATATTCAGTTTTTATTGTACAAAGACACGATTAAGATTTATAAATTATCAATAACTCTGTAATTATGCCTTTGCTCAATAGCCAGATAATAATAATAATCACAGGACAATTCACACAGCGCTATCTAGTCCCAAGTTAAGCTAGCTTGTATTATGGGTACTAGATAACTGTTACGAATACATAGATATATTTTAGTTTCGTAAATACATATTATTATTATACTATTCTCCTGCTTCCGCTTCCAGAAGTAGGGTACTCAATACTTCCTCTCTTGGAGCTTGTTCTTTCAGGGTTACGGAAAGCGCAGACTTTATTGATCGCACTAAGCGTTCCCACGCACCTCCCATTGATGGTGCCGCTGGACAAATGAAGACCCACTCTATTTTATGGTTGGCCGCGAAGTCGAAAACGTCTGTGAGTTGGTTGGCTGCGCCGACAAAAGCCGTGCC